CTTTTGAAAATATGTGGTGTCTTGATAAACTGAGCAGATATTTGAGGTTTACACAGCTACATTCTCGCCTGAAAATATGCTAAACGTTTATTTTGTATGAATAGATAATTCTTGCTAGCTTGGAAGTTGTGGTGGGTTGAGCTAACCCTCTTCCCCACTGTTTGTATTTGGTCGTAGGAGCTGGAGTGGGCAAGCTATTTATTTGGAGGTCTTTCTTTCTTTTACCTTTTATCGTCAGACACAACACAGAACCACAACACAGTTAACTCCTGATTTACAGCCGGTAAATCAGGAGTTAACTGCGATTAACCACAAGTTACACTCTCACATCCAGGCCTGACTACAGACATGCTGGATTAAGTAGAAGCTGTGTAACAAAGAGAGGACATCACACTACCATCTTAACAAAGTCACTGACATCTATCAGTCTGAAAGACTTACATTTGGAGTCTATTGTGATTTTATTTTCCTCAGACATGACAACAATGTCATTGTCCAGAGCAAATACCCAGAAATAAAAGCCACTCTGTTTCACTCAGGTGTGTCTGTGTTGTATCTGACTCAAAGACGATCTGTACATCTCACCTGACTGCAAGCTGATGATGCCAGTGCTGTTACCATGGCAGAATCCAGTTTAGCAGGTTTACAGACAGACAGACCAAAACCATAAGAGTCACGTAACAGGAGAAAACTAAGCGGTAGTCTTTGTCACTGTGCATCTCTACATCTCATTAATGACAATATTTGACTGCTATTCCTATTGATGTATTCCGTATTTATACATGTGTATATATGCTATATTTATGCTTATGTTCATATTCTCTTATTCTGGTTTATTTTACAGTATAACTGCTACTGGAAATTGAGTTTCCTGGAGGAACCACCCAAGGGATTAATAAAGTTCTATTGATCTACATTTACTGTATATAACAGTGTTTAAATAGTACTTTATATGGTATTGATGTCATACCAGAAACCAGGAAAGTGTCCTCTCTTTGTCCCTCAGCATGCAGCAGAAGATTCAGATCTTCACCTCAGCTGAGAAGCTGTTGGCCTGATTCATAGTCTCCAGGTTCAGATCAAGACTGAGTTGGTAGAGAAATATGATCTGACACTTTAGTAATAATAATAATAATAATGGATTGCATTTATATGACACCCAGCTCTATCTGTCCATGAAGCCAGATAACACACACCAATTAGTTAAACTGCAGGAATGTCTTAAAGACATAAAGAC